CGGTACGACAAGTCGCCGGAAACACTGCCCTATATGCTCACCCCATGCCAGACTCTTCCGTTTCCTCTTTGTCTTGGCCTTTTACCTCTTATTCACGCTGAGGCAGGCAGAGTTTTTCTGAATGAGAGCACCTTGACACAAAAGGAGGGCAGCTACATGTGCAACAGACAGAAATTATTGCAGTGAAACTGCCGTCTGCGATACAATGACAGGACATTTCATTCAGTAATTCATGAAGCAGTATCAGTAGCTGCATAATGAAAGTTTCTTATTTTTCTTGTGCTCTTGCTAAAAAGATTCAGTTGGTACGCTGCATGTAGCAACACGTGAATGAACAAAGATTCATGGTGTGGTTAGAAAGTTATATCGCAGCGAAGACAAATAAATATGTTTGTCTCTCATCTCATCAATTCCTCTTCATTGAAAAATATTGTAAATAAATACAATTTCCTTTTGTTCCTCTTCAACATAAGCTGCTCCTGAAATGCCAGCACTCTGAGGCGTCATCAAAGTATAAGAGTTTGCCCTGTGGAGCTGTGTTTTCCCCCAGCTGACCTCTTGAATCTGATCCTTCTCCATCTGATCCCACAGTCCATTTGTCCGCCCATGCCTCTGTTCTGTCTGTGCAGGCTTGGAGAACAGCAATTTGGATAACATACCTTTGGCATTTACCAGACTGAGCTTGTATCTGTGGGCTCGGAGAAATGCCAAAGGTGCATGGGTTGTGTGTGACCTTTTAGATACAATCTCCGAATAAACTTGATGGGAAAGGGATTTGTTGTAATAGATGAACAAAAGACACCATTATAACCCTGTGTCAACACCTCTGGTCTGCTAGCATTCACTCTATATGAATAATGATTTAGATTTTGTATGATTGTTTCATAAAACATTGCTGTATAATGTTAACCTCCAGCATGAATTCAGAGATGAACATTACCATATGGCAATTAACTTGTTGAGCAACACAGCCACACCTAAATCCAAAGGGAGATGGTGTTCCTGTGTGTGTGTGTGTGTGTGTGTGTGTGTGTGTGTGTGTGTGTGTGTGTGTGTGTGTGTGTGTGTGTGTGTGTGTGTGTGTGTGTGTGTGTGTGTGTATGTGTGTGTGTTTGTGCGTGTGTGTGTGTGTGTGTGTGTGTTGGATTTGCTCTATCCTTCTATCTCTACAGTGAGTCACAGGATTGAAACGCTGCTTTAAGGCCTCTAGAGTTTCCTCCCTCCACAAGGCAGGGCTGTATTTAAACACTTGCCACACTTCAGAGATCTCTGCTAAATGCCTTGCTTTCCACATTTAGTGACCATTACTCCGCTTAAAACGCCTTTTAAGTATGTGCGAAAAAGGGGCTGTGAGATGGGATAATGGGAGGAAGATCACACGTTTTGCTCTACTTGTGTCTCATTAACTTTGAATATTACATTGATTTTTTGATTTTTAGATTGATAGATAGATAAAAAAATAACATTTCACAATTTGAAAACTCCTGCACAGACTTTACAGAGCAGCTTTTGAAAGAGAAAAAATGCTGGAATGAATAAAATGTGGCTAGTTCCATCCTGTATAAGCTCCTTACTCTGAAACAAGTTGAATCTTTGCAAAGAGGAATTTGAGATGGGAAGGGAACTTCATAAAGTCCCCGCAGCACACCCTTTCATTTGCCGGTATGGATGGAATGCGTGTCTACTTTGTTGCAGCTATTCCAAAATCAAGCTTACACAGTAATTATCTCCCAACCCAGTGCATTTCAATGATCATCTGTAAACCTACTAAGCTATAATGACAAGATGGGCAGGTAGCTGCTGCAGGAATTTTGGACTTCATGAAGATTTGGTTTCCACAGGAATTGCAACCTGATAAACAAAAATTCTGCGGGCAGTGACAGGATCTTCAATTGTTCCCGCCACATATTGAACTATGGGTTTAGGAACAAACGCTTTACTTTTAAAATGATTATTATAGGAATAGGAGCAGATATATAATTGACTGGCCAAGTAACCTTTATTGATATTGCAAGGGTTATCATTTTGAGTATAGAGGAACTGGAGGAGGACAGTGACTATAGGGACACAATCACTGAATTTGGAATACTGTATACATGGCATACTATTTGTTAATACTCAATTGTTTTACGACTTAGCAATCAAATAGCCCCTATACTGTTTAATGTTGTTGTATCGAACTCAGTAGTTCCACATAAAGCTCAACGTTGCTGTGGCAGCTCATGCCAAGGTTTTTCTCTTTTTCTACTCTTCAGTCTTATCTTCGCCCTTCGTCTGCCCACACACACACAACCATCTGATGTTTCTTTAAATAAGTCAGCAGGTCGCTACTCCATTTCAAGGAAGTCACATTCTCTACTGACATCACTGAGGAGGGTGATGGTGCAGTTATCACAGTTAGGTAGTTATCAGAAAAACTGAAGAAGATATCAGTCCCTTATTTATAAAGATCAGGCTGTGATGCTCTTCCACTGCACATGACAGCTGTTGCATCATACCAGCATCAATGTGACGAAGGCTCTGGTTCATGTCAGGACACTCCAGCTGGGATAGTGTGATTAATGTCTGAAAAAAGAAAACCTCTATTACATGCGACTCTAACCATTTAAGTGATGACTGTATCATGTTCAGGTTTAACCATGTATTGCAATAACAATACACATTTCGGACTGGTGTGACCTACAGCTAGGCCCCAACAGTGCTACAGCTAAGATCCTATTATTAGCAAAAAGTGAATACCAGAAATGCTTAGAGAATTCCTTTCATTCTAAATTTGAAATACCTTGCGACATTAATTCCTCCTTAATAGTTGTGGCTGAGAGGTTCACAGACCTGCCAGCCACTTTAGATTTGTGAAGAAAATAGAACTGTCGCTATCCAAAAGGTTCTATTTTAAACCTGGAACATGTATAATTGTAGGAGCAAAGTGAAGACAATTGCATGTTTCACACAAAAAAGCCAGAACAGTACACTAAGTGGCCACTTAGTCAGGCCACTTTCAACACTTTTTTTCTTGGTTAAACTACTGCAAAGTAGGAAGAGTAAGAGTGATTGAGTGCTGTGTATTGCTCATCTTTAGTCGATACTGTACGCCACAGCAGCGAATGGGCAAGGCTACAACATCCCAGCTCTCTGTAGAGTACATCTGTTTTTGTCCACATAGTAGGAGGAGGAGTGCTGACATTTGATATGCAAAGGCCTTCTAATCCCCCAAGTGCATCCCAGTGTTTGCACTTTCAAAGCATGTTTTTTTCTGGCAGAATGCGCCTACTATCACTTTTAAATGCCAAAACTGACTCACCCCTCTGCCGGAAGAGAACTTTACAATATGAGCTGAGGTATAAAGATCCACATTATCAGTCCAGCTTACTCTCCTTCCACAGCTAAGCCTGACCGCATGCGGCAAGACTTTTCCCACTGCCAACGTGATATGACCGAGGAGCACCAGCTTTGTGTGGGTGATACTGAAAACTAGCAGTTATAACATGACAGTGACACTAAGAACATGAAGTGCACTCTTTGCTTTCTGAACTCCACAGGGTTTTCTAATTACTTAATCTTGGTGTTATGTTCACAGATGGGCCGAAAGTTCTCATGAGGCCAATAACGGTGATTAGCTAACATTTGCTGAGTAACAGAAGAGAGCTTTCCCTTACATAACCTCAGAGAAACTGTCACTTTTCATCTGGCTTGCTGGGAAAGAGGCAGCAGTCTGTTATTAATGTGTGTCATCCCATGGCATCCATTTGATGAAGTTGCTACACTCCTTTTCAGATGTTCGGACCGTGTGTAAAAATGCCCTCGAAGGACAGAAAACTTCACATCAACAACACAACCTATTTCTGTCTCACTAAAGCATCCATTCCAGGGGCCATTACTGTCAACACACACACAATCAGACCTGAGGTGTCGTCATGAATAATTCCTGCTCCTTCTTCTTGTAGGCTACTTCCTGTTCTGCTTTTGTCTGTGTGGGTATGTTTATGTATGAGACATTCATTATTGAACTCTGAAGAGCACTGATATTCTGAGTGAACATTCAATGGGATGACGCAAACATCCATGTTCAACTTCCATCATTATATAAGCTAAAGAGGTGAAGAAGAGGTGTTCAGCAGACTGCCGGAACAAATACTCCGTGTTCCACATGAGTGTTTGGTCCGGCAGCAGTGTAGAAGAGAAGCCAATCTGTTGCAAAACACATGACTTACAATTATTGAACAAAGGACATAAGCAGGGAGAAGCTGTGCCAGATGTCTTTTTCGAAGCTCTCATTGATTTCCGACTCTAACCAATCTGGCCACTGGTGGATTGTTTCCATGGTTACAGTGAGTGAATGTGGACAGAATTCTAAGAATGATTGTATAGTCACTATGCCTCAAAAGCTATGATGTAACTATTGAAATAGTACAACAAAGTCTGTCACTTTATTAGTATGTCTGTCTTTCTAGCTGCATGTCACTATTTGGCTGTCTAGCTGATGCTCAGTGCCCTTGTTTGTATGCCAAGCAACGTGTGCCTTTGTGTGAGTCTGTGTGTGACGAGGTCCGCCAAATTGAATCCTCCATTTATCACTAGGGAGCAAAACTCCACACAAGATGAGGCCTTGAGCCAGAGAACATAACTTCACTGTCAACCTGCCCTCTATTATCTGTCTCTCTCTCTCTCTCTCTTTGTGTCAATTTCCTGTTGCAGTTTGAAGATGAAATACTTTGATTTCGAAAAAGGTCACAGAAGTGAAACCATTCTCATTGAACTGTACATAACATTTTCTTAGGATGTACTCTTTACACGATGAACAAGGACACTGTTCCTTTTCAGGTTTGTATAACTGCATTAAAAGAAACATCAATACCAGGCATCAACAGATTTTGAGGGCAGACATACAATGTAAAAGCAGTAAACATCTAACAACATCTCTGAGCTGACTGAGACAACATTGTGTTTCTGAAAATGTAAATGGCTGAAAACACTCAATTAAAAGGACAAGTACTCAGGAGTAGATTGTTTTTTTTTTAGAAAATGCTTTTTTATTATTAAATAAATAAATACTGCACTTTTTACACATAAGTTATTCAGGACATTTTCAACCACTGTGATAATGGCTTTTACGGGATCCTTCAGGACCCCTGGTACTGTTTTTCAAATGTTACTCTCTCCCCTTCCCTTCTCTCCCTCACATCAACCCTCAAAGCTCAATGTGCCGAGTCTATCCATCATTAAAGAGAATAAATCACAGTTTTTAAAGTTAATGTGATGATACACACATACCACTCGCATACACACTCACACATATAAACAGCATAACTCCGGAGCATCCACACACATGAACAGATCGTTTATCTGCACTGCTGAGGTGGCTGTGACATACACTGTACATTATTTACAATATTCCACAGTCTAGCCCTGGTGACATTCAGAGCATCTTGTTATGTATTTCTGTATAAAACAGCATCAATTAGATTATATACATTAAAGCTGGTACCAGCCCAGCATCTGTCTTTACTTCCCAAACATCCCTCTTTTTACCCAAATTGCTTGGGTTCACATTCGTACCAACATACTCGCTCCAACATGCTCAGTATTGTCTTTCTTCCAACTTTCCACATACAAGTCAGCCCTTTATCATTCACGGTCATTGTGCTACATTTCATTTCCAGTCAGCAGAGTCTGTCCATGGTATTTGTTCACCTCTGCTGAGTCATTCGAGGTGCAACAATGAAGGAATGTTAATTAACTTTTCACAAGTCTATCCTTAATCTTGTCCTTCCCACACAGATTCCTTCTGAAACATGGCTCCACTGCAGCACTGCAGCAGACAATGCGTAGATCTGTGTGTGTAATGTCAAGCGAAACACATTAGCTGCATCTCTGCAGAAGCATGTTGAGGGAGTACACCATGCGTTCCCGCAGGTCGGGGGGGCATCCGGATGTCAGCAGGGAGCTGAGTTTGAAGGTTTTGGAGACACGGTCCTCGTTGATGTATGTCAGCATGTACTCATCGCTCTGGCAACACAGGATTATCTTGGTGTGGTCGTGGTAAAAGTTGATCTGTGGAAATAAGAAAAGTTGATGTTATTTTGAAAGTTATTGTTTTCTCATATGATTTTTCTTTATCTGTGTAATGCAATGCTAAGATGTGCACCTCTATGCATACCTAATAACTGCTGTGTTTCCTGTGATAGTGCATGTGTTTACCTGGAAAGTGCCGTCGTTAAAAAGCATCATGAGGGCGCGGTCTGACTTGAGCCACTGCAGCAGGTAGAGTCTGGGCATGTGAGTATCTGCCACACTAACAAGGTCTCCGCCCTTAGAAAGAAAAAAAGGTAGAGCAGGATTAGACAGGCTGCAACATGAAAGATGCCATAATGCTTCAGGGGATGGAAAGACAAAAGAGACATAATAGCAAGAGCGATAGATTACAGAAAGAAGAGTGGGAAAATAGAGATATTTACTTACATCCATGAGATTCTCCTCCATGTAGTGTGAAAAGTACTTGAGCACAGTCACTTGGCCCACAAAGTGTTCAGGTACCTCGCAAGTGGGGAAGACGGAGCGCTGTCCCAGCTCTGCATAGTAATGGATAGTCCTGAAGAGATGGACATAAGGAGGTGAAAAGAGTTATGCAACCACTCACATAAACACTACAAAAAGAGAACAAACATAAACCAGATTTTTATGACATTCAAAATCTGTTGGTATTCTTGATAACAAATATTGCTTTTGCTTGAAAATGATGAAGTGCCAGGGAAAAGGATCTAGCAACATTTACTTATTGAAAAGGAGCCTGCAAATTCATATGACAAGGCAAGCTATCCTTGCAATTTAGTACTTATGTCAAACCACTAACAGGTTCTTCAAAGTATGTACTAGACATGCTTAAACAAGCCATCTCCATTATATGTAGTGACTAATAACTGTGAAACTGAAGGTGGAGTGCTGTGAAAGCATAGAATGGTGCCTACTTTCTGTCTGGCAGGAGGCTCATGTGAGTGCCGTTGTTAAAGAGAACTCCCACGGTGTGGTCAGACAACTGGTATCCAAAGCCGTACTTGTTGGAGTAGTCCACCCATTTAGTCACCCATTGAAGAGTGCAGCTGTTTGAGCCCTGGGGAATGTCATCGGCTAAAGGGTGAAAACACAGAAGAGGAGGATTACAATACAATAACAAAGACAATTTGAAGAACTAAAGAAGCCTCTATAAATCCTTGCTTTTGTTAAAGCAACCAAGAGCTTATCAATATATTAATATTTCCTTCACGGTCACACACAAACAATAATACACTTGGAGGGAATGAGGGTGTGTTAACAAAATCATGGAGTCTATCTTTGAGATATAAAACAGTCCTTCAATCAACACATTTCTCTGTTAAGACATTTCAAGGTCAAATACAAATAATGAGCTTTTGGTTTACAACAAAAACCTTTCAGTGTGGAATAATTTGATCGTTAACCACATGTGTAGGCTTTGGATTGGTAAATAGACTCACCTTTAGGCATATTCTCCAGACATCCTCTCAACACGCTCGCAACAGTCTCAGCCACGCTCCCTGTCGTGCTGTCTTCCAGGCCTTAAAGAACAACAACAGGGGGCATTTAGCTAGACATCATTTCAGTGCAGTTCAAGAAACTACATTGCAATGTAGCTGTTGCATAAATGCACTCTATCATTGATGCACCTCCTGTGTGTAAAATAACAGAAATGTATCTGTGTCTGGGAAACAAGTCTGGAGAACTCACATTCGCTGCTGCTGCTGCAGCTCCCCAGACTTCCCCTGACAATCAGACGGATGGTATCACGCGTCGTCGGAGACTGGCTCTCCGTTGCCGGGCCAACGGGGTTTTCGGCAGATGGCAGAGGTAGACTTCCACTCTGAAGGTGAGAATCATTGACGCCACGGTTAAATACTGTACATTTGGATCATCTCTTCCTACTATCACTAAGCATTCCACCACAGAAGCTTAAAAGGTTGAAAATAAATGCTGTTAGTTTGATTTAAAATTGTGCTTGTTCGTTGTAATACAGCCTCGTAGTTACTCATTGGATTCTCGCAAACATGATATCTCAAGGGTTAGCATCACCTGTGTGATGTTTTAATATCCTGAACTGTGTTTTGAATGATCTCTTACCTCAGAAATATTTTTGCTCTGCTGTTGGCTGATAACACTTCTCTCCAGGTCGTGCTGCAGTTTGTAGATCTCCTCTTCCTCTTTTGTCAACTTATCTATCAAAAGGTGATGAAGCACAGAACATATCAGAATAAGATCTTTAAACCAGTGGCTAAACAAACACAAACATGAGAGCAGTATACATTTAAATGTGAAATGTGCTTGCAATTGTTTAATAAACTAACAGTGCCTCTTGCAGCAACCACAACTGTGCTGCATGAACGATAAATAACTGCTGTGACATGTGGTGTTTGAAATGGTACATGAGAGCTCAGTGTTTTATATAATACTCACTCAGAGTCTCGTAGTATTTGACCTTGTCCCTCTTGCCCCCAAAGAGCGCTGCGGCAGCTTTCTTGAAAAAGCTCTTGGCTGGACTAGAGATGTGGAAATCTGGTGCTGAATGGCAGCAGTTAGCAGGCAGACGCTCTGGACTGAAGCCCTGTGCAGAAAAAAAGTAGGTCAGTGTGCGACTGGTGGGAAAAGGGTCACTGTTATACTCCTACACAGTGACATTTAGTGAGACAGACAGTGAGGACAATAGACAGACAGGCAATAATGAGGTCTAACCTGTGTGAAGAAGTCGTGCCTCATAATGTGGTCCAGGTTTGGCCGATCCTCTGGGATCTTGGCTAGCAGGCTAGTGATGAGCTGCTTAGCCTGTGGCGACAGGGAAGAGGGTAGAGAATAACGCGCCTCTCTAATACACCTGTACGTCTCCTTCAGGTTGGTGGTTTCAAAAGGTGGCCTGCCCAACAGCATGGTGTACCTGGAGAAGGATGGAGGGGAAAGTGAGCGGATATAGGCAAAAGAGGAAATCACAATCTCATAAAATATGATGCTAATTTGTCTCTTCAAGCTGATCATCCAGTATTTGACTGATATTTAACATTGTTACAAAACATATTTTCGAACTAAATGGTGTAAGTATAGTTGGCCTACTCACATGACACAGCCCAGGGCCCAGATGTCTGATTCACAGCCGTGGCCCTGCTTGTTGAGCACCTCAGGGGACAGGTAGTTTGGAGTTCCACAGATCGTCTTCCTCCTGTTCCCCACTGGCTCCAACTTGGCAGCCAGACCAAAGTCCCCGACCTTCAGCTCCATCGACTCACTCACAAAGAAGTTACCTGTAGGGAAGAAAGGGAATGATATGATGAGCATTTGATATTCAAGCCAGGATCAAAGGATACATACTGCACTGATCCTCTGATGTATTGAGTACAGAATGTATCTTTACAATTCTGCATAAAGTGTCTCAGCAATGCAGTGTGTCACTGCTTCAGTCAAATTCCTTACCAAGTTTAAGGTCTCTGTGAAGGATCTCTTGTTCATGCAGGTACTTCAGTCCAGATACTATCTGTCTGAGATAATAACGCACCTCGGGCTCAGTTAGCACTTTGCGAGCCTTCAGGATGTGGGCTAATGACTGCGAAAAGACAAAAATATAGAGAAGATAATTAGTTTCCGGTAGTTTAATTATCTATAAAAACACAGTTTCCTCTAACCTCTAAACTTTAACATTGTGGTGTTCTTGTATTCTCATTCTGTGGGAAGGTATATACTGTAGATTTGCTGAATCATAACAATAAATAACACAGTATAGGTCTTTTATAGTAGGGGCAGACTGAGTGCTGCTTCATTGACTTTAGGTGCAATGCAGGTGTTATCAAAATGTGAAGCACGGCTGCTGCAAGAACAAATAACAATGGTAAGAGTTTTTAGTATGTGTCAACTAACTTACTTTTCTACTGCAGTATTCCAACAGGATGTAGATGTTCTCCTTGTCCTCGAAATGATGATAAAAGTGCACAATGTGTTTGTGGTGCAGAACTCGGTGCAGCTCAATTTCCCTGTCAATCTGGCAGGGGAGAAACATAATGGTCACGATTTGAACTTAGAGGCATGTCTGTGATATCTGCTGTCCAGGCGCACCAGTGCGCGCCGGGACCAGAGCCGCGCGCTTACCTTCTCTCGTTGGTGAGGTTTGGAGACGCGCGAATGCGGGATGATTTTGGCTGCATAAACTTTGCTGGTGGAGAGGTCAGTCATCTCGTAGCATTTAGCAAACCCACCCTGGAAAGAATAAAAACACTTACGTTAACATGGTGTGTCTTCGGTTTAAGTTGTAAATCCATTAAGAAATTACTAGAGATGAAACTTGCGCTACCTTTCCCAAAACTTTCCCACGGCAGTAGCACTTCCCCGTGGCAGGGTCAGTGATGATCCTGGCCATCTCCGAGGGCGCACTGCGCTCATCCAACTTCTTTCTGCGAGGCTCGCTCGACCTTTGCGTGGCTTCACACATACTGCTGCTGTTTGTCTGTTGGGGACCGGGGTTTTTCTGTACTTCCATTTGAGGTGGTTAGTCGTCCCGCACTCAGAATGCAGCCCGGAGCTCGTCTCTGAGGTTTTATAGTCTGGCACCCTCCCCACCCAGCCCCTCTGTCTGCCGCCCTCTCTCTGACGTCACAGTGTGAAATCAGAGCATGAGGTCTGCCTGACATCGATTGCCTTGCATGGGTGTTGGTGATGGCACAGGCATGAAATCAAAGGGATTAAACATCCGGTGGATTCTGTTATTTCATCTTTTAGAAGGATTCATATTATTATTTGCAACACCAGCCTCGCAACAACAGCAACAATGTCATGTTCGTTAGTTTCAATATATAATATCATAATATATAATCGTAATTTGGGCAGGTGAATGGACCTTTTATATTTGTGTGCATAATCGAAATTCAATTTGTTGGAAGTCTGATTTTTTTTTGTCGATAGAATATCCAGAGGATACCACCATCTGTATTCCATTCAGGCTCGGCTCACCTCACTCTGTGTTTTTGCACCAAACTCAGTCTGGAGCACTAGCACCCTCTGGTGGACATGATGGATAATATTAAGAAGCTGGAGTAAAGGTTACAAACCTGCTCAGCCTTTAAATCCCTGTTCACCAAAGACTATACTGCAATACAATGCAACACTGACTGACATCTGATACTTTATTGGATTGTTAAGTGCAGAGGTTCCCTTTCTTTCAGACAGGTCAGGAGATACAGATACTGTTTCCAGTCCGTGCACAACATAAAAAGGTCTTTGTGCCTAATCTTCAGTTGCTGTGAGAACCATGGAGTAAATCTCAGAATGGCATTAAGCTGGAGGAGCCTAGGTGTTCATTACATAAAATAAACACAAGCACAACATATGAATCTAGTTACAATCCCACAAGAGCAAAGCGGGACAAATAGAATAACATGCATACCTACCTGAAACATACTTCTGAGTATGTCATGATGTGGAAGAAAAACTATTTGCAAATGAATCGCTCTTAGAAAGAGCGCAATAGCAATGTTGTAAATAGTGTTGCACAAATGTATAACACGATTGTCAGCAAGACTGGCTAAGTCTGTTGTGGATATGCACTGGTTTATGAAATACAGCAGCAGATTTTGACAAGTAATGTCAAAATCATCCTGACATTTTGTCAAGTCAGAGTAGTCCCTCTCATCCTCTCCATCACACCTGATCAGTGCTCGTATCTGACAGAAACTTTATCTCCAAATGATCTGCTAGAAGAGAAAATAACCAAAGACTGTGAATTAATACTCCACAATTTTGGGTCCTTTTCTCAGGTGTGAGCGCACAGTACTTATGTCATAAGCAAAAGTCTCATCAAGATCAGAGCCAACAGACTGTCGCAGTGGCCAGTTGGGGAAAGGAAAACGAGCGGCGATGACACACGCATCATCAGGAAGCTCTTTCAACAGCTTCTCACCTAGCACCTCCATCTGTAAACCAATGAAAAGCTTTATATGCTATATGACCTATACATATTAAGAAAAGGAAAATACATAATACTTCACAAGGAGGAATACTCACCAAACCTGGCGAAAGGAAAGCTGTCACATTGTTGTACGAAGACAAATCAGTCTGTGAAAGAAACATTTTGCAGATAGTCATTTGCCAACTTTGATCAGGTAGGTTTGAGAAAAGCAATACTTTTTTGTTTAGACCTTACCTTCCAAAAGTCTTTTTTAACAAAGGTTGCCTGGCTGGAGGGCACTCCTCTAAAGTGGGCCTTGCTCCTGGAATAGGCCACTAAAATTGAGTTAATCTCAAACCCTGTGCATCGGAAGCCAGCAGAAGAGGCTGCAAACACCTAGAAAACCACATCAAAACACTTTAATCAGGAATTTAAGATTTTAAGTTGAGTTTTTGGCCACATATAAATTGATTATTTTCTGAAACAACATCAGCTCGCTTACCAGTCTTCCATCTCCTGATCCCAGATCTGCTAAGTGTCCTGTTCGTCCCTCAAGCAGCTGCATAATGTTCATTGTCTGCCCTTTACTGGAGGGCAAATAAGGAACCTGGACCAGAGCAACCACACTTAGTTAATCAATACAAGTCTCAATATAAGTCTCAGTAATAATGCACTATCTAGGTGACACATCTGCAGGGCTGCTTATAATCTCTAGCTGTGATTAAACTGGGTTTAATCTCTGATAATGTAATATTTCATTTTTAGATTTGAGATTACTCAGGCATGCAAACAAATATTAATGTGGCTTTTTATTTTTATTTTAAAATGTCAAATCAAATTCAGATTTTCCATGCATCAAAAAATGCAGTCTAAATAACATTCGGATCATCTTTCCGTTTTTTTTCAACTAAACAACTGCTTGATCCATTACGTTACAACAATGGACAAAATGCAGTTCAGATAAAGTAGTTATAAGTAACATAGAAGATTGTGCAGCTCTCTCTTGGGTTCACAAAAACATGCACCATTTGTTATGTGAAAGGGTAGAAGAAAGGCAAAGCAAGCAGTTAGCAAACAGGTAAACACAGAATAAGTAAATCTCAAGCACCAATAGGTTCAATGGGATTTTGCGTGATCCAGGCATACAAAACATTCTCCAGACTCCATACAGTCCAGTGAGCAGAGCCCCTGTGCAGGCCGACAGGACGGGGTGGGGCCTGCTGGTAGAACACACCCTGCCAGGGTCTTGCAGAATCATGTCAATGGAGTCCTCCATTACAAACGGTCACTAATAGGTTAAAAATAAAGTAAATGAAGTAGATTGAAACCTGTAATCACTTTATCAAACATAAAGTGATAAAAACATTAAACATAAAGAAGATAATCCTCTATGATCAATCCCATATTCTGTTCCCTCAGTATGAGCTATCAGGTAGACAGTAAAGAGTTGAGTGGTGCAAAATGATTGGGTTCAAGAACTCCTTTGAGTTTGTATCAATTGGAATATTAAATAGTAGCCTAAAATAAGCAGAGGGTACAGACGTATTGGTGGGGTACAAAAAAACAAACTGACTGATGCCTACAGTAGGTGAGTATTTTTAACAGCTGCGACAGCAGAGCTGGTATTGTTTTCAGTTTGTGTGAATGTGTGTCTCATAATGTTGCTGGAGACACTTACTGTAGCAGGAACCACCACAGAAGTGGTTTGAGTACTCTGCCAGGAATGTATATTTCTGTCTCTGTGGAAAGTAATTTTTTGTTACAAAATGCAGTCTCGGAACTTTGAACATAAAAGGGATATTTGTTTGATTTTTGTAAGAATAGAGTTGACAGAGAATAGAAGGGGATTTCAGAAAGGGGACCATTAAGCAGAATAGCTAGCCACATTCATGAACAATGAAAACAGTCAAATTCTGAGCAGCATGGTTGACATTGGTGCAGAACAATTTGTTACAGCAATGGTTATGTAACTGCTCCTAGCAAACGCTACTGCAGTCTTTATATCTAAAAATGACAGCCAAAAATATGAATTCACTAGTAAATAATTTTTAGGCTTTTTTTGGGTTGAACATCTCTGTCAAGTTATCAGTCGCCATGTAGCTTTGAAGAATATATGTCATCACTGCGCTTTTATAAAAAAGAAATAGTGGGTATAAATTAATGTCTCCAAATAATCCATTATGTAAAAACTGTTTAAACAAGACCTTATGTATTCATTTTATGATAAAGATAAAGGTGGGATCTCAAACCATTTATTCTAAAAAAAAAGAAAAGACTATGTTAAGATGTGACACTAAAACAGTGCAAGGTTGCTAAGGAGGATTACATAAACAACAGTCTACCTGTGTGAATAGATATAGCTCACTTCAGGTCAGGTCAGTTGGCTTATATGGCAACAGTAGCTACAACAGAAGACATAAATATCACCAGAGCACCACGTCTCACAGCAGATGGTGCAACTGAGGCCTTCTCGTGTAGCAGCCTTCTAGAAAAGTTTGTTTACCACGCGTATAGGTCATGTACTTAAACTGTCTAAAGGACGGCTTTGTAGAGATATCAATTACTGGCATTCTCGGAAAGGCAAGCTAAGGAGCTTCGCTACATTGGCCATCGAGTTAGCACAAAGCTATACGTTTTAACACACCAACAGATTTGTAAGATTTCAGATTTGTCAACATCGGTGCAAATATGCCAAAGTAAACCACCAGATGAAAAAATATACACTATTGGCGAGCATTTTAAACACATATGTACAGCTTTGAAATATTTTAGAAGTTATAACTCACTATCTAAATGTGAGGAAGACATGGTGCTACAGCCTACCTGATCCGCCTCTCTATGCGCGCTCAACCGCCTGCCTGCAAATACACGAGCGCACACACACACACACACACACACCACACGTATATGCATTGCTTGCATACGCATATTGGTCCTCGCCTTCTTATGACAATGGTACCGTTTTGCATTTGCACCTTTTTTTAATTAATTATGCATTTGAAAGGAATTTTTGCATTTAAACCTGGAGAGGGCGGATGTGATTATGATTGTAAACATGCTGCTTTTTTCAGTTCCATAGCGTCGGCGGCCTCATCCTGCACTTTCTCCCATTGAAAGGCTCACAATAATAATATTCATCAGCACTCAGGCCTCACTTATTTGCTCAGCCGCTTGTTCTCTATAGCGGAGCTGCATGTAGTCTAATGGGGGGAGGGGGGGAGGCGCCTGCAAGACCAACCGAGAGTGACGCAAAAAGAGAGGCCATTATATTAGCTTCCTGAAGAAAAAAAGAGGAAAATATACAGTCCAGCTGGGAGTTTATCATAGCTGGAGTGAATTCGAAAACAGACACGAAATGGACTTGTATGGGAAGGTAAGATGTGTGATTTTATTGGAAGACCATGGAGAGATCCAGAGGGAGAGAGATAGGGACATGATGAAATGGTTAAACCTTAGATTGTGGATATACCGTGCATTTTCCATTTTTTGCAGTTTCTCTTGGACATTGCGTGTTGGTGATGCATATTTAATAACGAACTACAAACCTTTCCCTGCGCTTCCCGAGTATATTACACAGCTGCTGACAGATGTGCTGCGCTTAATGCTGGGTAATGTAGTAGAATCTATTATTTGGATGCCCTTCGAAACCGTGAAAAAACTACAACCCCCATGTTTGGGACCATATCGCTTACGTCAGAGAAACGCATGACACGCACTTTCCTTTGCTCGTGCTCATCTCACGCGAGGCAGGCTCGTCAGCTCAGGGGCGCGTGCCATATCCGAAGTGGAAGGGACAGCTCCCAGGTGCTGAAACTGGTCGGCGCTCACAGAGAAAGAGACACAGAGCGGGGAGAGACCAACGCCTGCGATAGACACAAATACCAAAAGCCGTATTTGCAAAACAGGGGTAGATACAGATAGAGCCGAGGCCTTCAACACAGGTTTGTTCACTCAATGCCCTTAACGCGTTTCGGTGCTCTCATTTATTAATAGTTATGTGGAAGAATGTCATGAATTCATAAAATGACCTCTTGCCCAGAATTGCTCGACTAGCATTAGCTGGCATGTAGCTTCTTGCTCAGCTATACCGTGTCAATTAATATTGGATCTTTTGTTTTTGATCGTGGTGTGCGTAAATACCAGCATTGCATTGATATTTTAAAAGAGACGTCCTTACAGATGCCGCATCGGTGGTATTTGTCTTTCATACACGGAGCGAACATACACCCGGTGCAGGATCGAGCTCCGGCATCTTTCATAACCACTTGGCTACAAGGAGAGCTCGGCTGCCCATGTTTGGTTTTTAAGCGCAGTGGCTTTGTGAAAACATTCACCTTGGAGCAAAGATGACTGTGCTCTTGACATCTTGTTCTTAGTCGCGTTGTACTCTGACAGCACGCAAATGCTCGGTGTAAATGTGTTTTTTTTGGAGGTGAAATGTGCATTTCCATTGTAGCCTACGGTAGCTCATAATAAAATGGAAGAAAATGTAATGGCTGGTGAAATTGCCTTTCCTTTCTCATACGAAAGCTATTTTGTAAATATGTAAGATGGAAACATCACACACTTTTAATTGTAAAATGTAAACTGGCAAATCTACGTTTTAGTTTGACATATTTTGTTCAAATACAATATGGGTGTATTTTACTGTATTACTTAATCTAATTCATGAGCTTTTAAGGGAATAAGGGCTATAACAACATTTATTTAACCAATTAGTTTAACTATAGAAAAGACAAAGTCAGGTCTTTAAAATCCTGGTTATCTACTCATCAATACAACAGCTTGCTGCGTTGGTCATGCTGATTTGCCTGACACAGCCTTCTGTCACCTCTGATCTGGGCCTGCTCAGCGAGTCTGTACTGGACTCTGTTTATGACATCCACATTAAATTGAAAAATAAATATTGTGTTTATCATAAGATTATTTGCAGCACAGCTCTGAAAAGCTTCACAGTAGCTCAAGGTGAAGCTTTGAATAAATTCTTTTCAGCATCTCTTTTGTGTTTTTGCAGATGGCTGCCACTCAGGATGCGAAAGGGAAGGGAGAGGGGGGGGACCAAAACTTTGACTACATGTTTAAGCTGCTGATCATTGGCAACAGCAGCGTAGGCAAGACGTCCTTCCTGTTCCGCTACGCCGATGACGCCTTCACTTCGGCCTTCGTCAGCACAGTGGGAATCGACTTCAAAGTGAAGACTGTGTACAAGAATGACAAGAGGATCAAACTGCAGATCTGGGTATGAAATATTAAAAACATTTTTTTAAGTTAGCCACAAAATGTTTGATTCCTGACCATACCAGATATAAAACAGTGGATTAAAGCCATTAAAGATATGTTACTTTTGCCAGTCATTGGCTATAGTCAACACAAGATGATTTCTTCCTTATTTGCTGTGAACTCTTGAATAACCTGCCAATTCCACGTTAATCTTTCTAAACTCAGCATGGGATTTGTAGATTATTTAATGATGCTAATTTATAAAGGAAGACTATATTACAGCAGAATACATGAAGCATTAACTGTGGGTTCCTTTTCATGTCAGTTTATTTCGTCATGCCAACCATGCACACATTTCCATTTAATCAGTGAAATGGAGATCATTTGCATGTTGAAACATAGCTAATGTGTGGAAGATATCTTTTTCCTGTTGTCCTCCAAGGTCTCCTGGAGGACTACCTCAGCTCTGAGGGGCTAGGAGCTCTTCAGAGTCTCCCTCCACCTCCATTCTCTGTGTCTTTGTGTTCCTGCAGAGTGACTCCTGTCTGTAAAACACTGTCAATCTCAGCCCAGAGCTCACGTTCCCCTGCCCCCTGCCCATATCTTTCTCTGTGGATCAATATATTTCAAAGCCTGTGACAGGTTGGGACTTGATCGCTGTATACGGGCCATTAAAAGGTCCTCCTTATACAGGGTCACCTATGCATTAATTCAATTTTTTTTATATCTCTGAGCAAAGGTCATCCCTACTTGTTATGATTGGATACACTTCCCTTTTCATCTCTTGTTTTTCCATTATGTTATGTACACTTAATTCAAAGTTTAGAAATTACATTCAAAGCTAATCCTTTTGCTTTCACCACTCCACCTTTTTTAAGGTATATAGATAGGTTTGTTAACATTAAAATACCTGGATGTCATTGCAAGCTATTTAAAATATATATCAGTTTATACAAAAAAGGACCTTTGGAATCATTAAGTGATGTTTTTCATAAATCTTATTAGCCCATGTTTAATACTAGAGTTTGGATTGTAGCCTCTTAATTCGGAACAAAAAATTGAAACATTTTTTCATTTCTTACTCTTACTTAAAAAAACATGTCACCTCAGCTGTGTGCGCTTCAAGAGCTGTATTGTGTTTCCTCGGTTTAACACACCAGGGAGGCTGTGGCTCAGTGGGATTGTGCGCTGAATTTAGTCTGCTGAACTTTGAATCACAGGGTAGCAAGTTCAAATCCCACTGCAGTCAGCATATCGTTGTGTCCCTGGGCAAGACACTTCACCCCAAATTGCTCCTGTGGATTGGCCACAGCACTGAATGTATGTAAGTCGCTTTGGATAAAAGTGTCTAACAAGTGACATGAAATATGGAGACAGATGGAAGGCATAACATTACTGTCAGGAGACTAGTAAGTGTGAGCTTGTCACACAGCGGGAAAAAGCAACACCTTTCTTTGAATGTGTTGGAAGCGAATGTCTGTTTAATTAGGAGTTCATCTGAGCTGCAGAAGCAGATTGTCTTGTAATATCTCTGAAATAGTGCAGGGTTAGATATGTCAAAGACCTTCTCTTTCACTGTATTTCTTTTTATTTCTCGTGTTTTGTTTGCTTTACCAAATGGCAGCTTTCCTTCAGAGATTTAATTACTTGTTGTTATAACGGTTGTCTTTGCAGCAATTAGCCATCCCCAGTCATTTGGTGTTTGCTAATCACATAAAGAGGCCAAAAGAAGCAATCCAGCAGGATGGGAAATCTAGATTTGAACAGTGTGGCTAATTGGGATAATGTGTTTTCATCATCAGCAAAGACAAGTATTCAGTAAAGCCCCTGTCACACTGTCTCGAAATTGACACCAGATGGACACACGATAAAGGACATTTTCAAATTCGGCTCTGATCGTAACAACATTGGGCAATTCGTGAGGGCATCTTAAGCCATCGTATGCCGCCGCAGCAACTTTGTGCGGTGGCAAAATCTTTGGCATGCCAAAAAATTGCCGAAGCACCTTGCGAAGGTTCAGTTTCGTGTTGAATTTGTGTGTCCCTTTTGCCTTTCGTAAGGCACTCGTGAGGGCATCTTGTCAAATCGTGTCATCATCGTCTGATCATCCGTGCCATCGGGCATTTTTCGCCTCACAATACAAGACCATACGAAGGAAACAAGAAGCTGCCCGAGTGTCTTAGAAAGGCAACACGACTACGTGAAGCCCTCGCAATGCCGTCGTGTAGCCATCGTTTTATAGTACGATGACATCGAGATTGCATTTATTGCAAAACAAAATCATGTAAACATGTTATGTAAATAACCCAATTTGTGTTCTGTGAAACTGAAAAGGATATTAAATTGTTTTTGTTACTTTCGTTGCAGTTGTAGGTCTGAAATGTAATTTAGGTTCCTGTTTTATTTAGATATTGCTTTAGTTGTTTCTTTGGAAACAACACGACGGAGATAAGTAATAGCTTCTAATCTACATATAAAGATGGAGAAAGTAAAGAATAAAGTTTATGTTTAAATGTTAGCACCCCCCGAAGAGGCACAAGCTCTTACGTTGAGTCCGGATACATTCTAAATCATCAGTAAAGTCTACCACCATATTTTGTGTGTGGTTCGGGTGCCATCGTGTAGCCTTCTGTAGGCATCGTACTTGCTTCGGCTGTTACTTGGCTGTTGACCAACTTCGGGGCCATCTTCGTGCAAAATTCATAATTCCATATTCGTGTGTCCACCTGGTGTCAATTTCGGGACAGTGTGACAGGGGCTTTAGGCAAAGGATTGCCATCCAATGAATCTGTCTTTATTTGTCCTAACTGGGCTAAATATGAGCTCAGACTTACAGTAAGTGATGGCTATTAGCTATTGACATTGTGTTAGTTTCACAATCTATCTGCAGAGAAATAAAAGTGTCAAAATGCATCATAGAGTTGTGCCCGTTGTCATATTAGACTGAAGTGAATGAAGCACATCACTGAGTGCTGCCAGGATGAGCCTTGTGAAAGTCTTAAACTCACTTTACTGAATGAAAAAGAGTTGAGTCGTGTGCCAGGCAGCACTTTCTGCTCTCCATTCGAAGCAGTCAGCTTCTTGGATTGATTTCTAGTGAGCTGCAGAGTCAAGCGAAGCTTTTGAAGGAGCTCCAATTTGCGGGACTCATCATTTTAATTCTTTTTCCATCCTGTCTTTTTAACTGAGAATAGGCAAATCTGCTCACAGTAATAGCCTGGAAATGCTCAAAGGTCATTGAATCAATAACCCACTGAAAAATCACATGCTGAGGTTAAAACAGCATTCAGATAACTTGGATATACTATCCATACATCCATAGTAACAATACAAATAAAATGGATTAAACACACTATTCGACCTTTTATGCAACTCCACAAACAATGTTATTTATACAACACACACACATTAGAAGCAGCCATTAAAAATGCAAACATTCACGTGCACTTTAGGTGTTATTGTACACCGACAAAAGGTCCTGGCTGTGTGTGTGTGCCGACGCTGGGCCGGCTGTGAGCTCTGCCTCTGTGAAGTGAAGGTCAGAGCTGTCCTCTGGCTATAACAGGCACACTGTTGCAGCCATGTGCACACTGACTGAAATAAAACCCACTGTGCTAAATACAATCCAGAGCTGCCTGTCCAGCTTCTGTTTAACATCAGCCAAGTGGAGCAGCCAGAAGTGCTCCATCATGATCCACAGAAGCCTGCAGACACATTCGTTGTGGGTGGAACCACAGCACAGCATAAACAGGAAGGACATCATTGGGATTCATTATTATATACCTTATCAAAAAAAATTCAATGTACTGCTCACAGCCTCTTTTCTCTTCCTTCCTCATGGACACACTCACTTCAGAACGACTTCATCTTTCTGCATTGGGAGCTATTAGCATTTTCATTGACATCTAGTAGCAAATGCTGCAGTGGGAGCTTGTTTCCAGGGTAATCTGTGTACAATGTACTACTCATCTAATGCTGTGTAATCACTTGCTTGCTTTGCCTTGGAGCAATTACTTCAGCCTTATCATGAACAGCAATCATTCTCCCAATGTTGAAATCATTTCATCTCTATTTTTAGCCCTTTCCCTAAGAAATGCATGCCATGCATGAGCTGAGCTGTGAGTACTGCACCATCGAGTGTTTAACAGCTGAGCGAGGAGAGGAAAGAATCAATCACATCAGCCAAAACTGATTCAGTGTTTTTGGCATCTCATCAATGCGAAGCCAGTGAGGCCGTGAGCATAATGATTATTTACACATCAAACACAACAAACAAAGCCATAAGTAAATCTAAAGTGTGGATCCTAAATTGTGCTCGGATTTGATCTGAAGAATCTCTTAGTACTGTATGTATAAATAGCTGCAGATTAATTATGTATGTGGGTTCTCATTTATCATTATGGACTTGCATATATGTGCTTTGCAGGGTCATGTCAATGTTGCCGAGGCTGACAGCGTGAATAACAGTCAGTGGGCTAACAGCGGTGCTAAATCATGTTGTGTGTGTGTAGGACACAGCTGGCCAGGAGCGCTACAGGACCATCACCACCGCCTACTACCGCGGGGCCATGGGCTTCATCCTCATGTACGACATCACCAACGAGGAGTCTTTCGGCGCTGTGCAGGACTGGTGAGTTCATGTTGGGCTGTTTGAGACAATTTACTTCTAAATGTAAATTGTAATATCTGTATTCTTTGGAAAATATTGTACTATTATGAGAATCAGATTAACAGTAGAAGGACTTCCTGTTTGTTGCTATAAAGTCATTTGTTGAAATCATGCCGACTTGATATTGTACATGGTTTGTCCTTTTTTCCAAGACAAATCTGAAATGATCCCTAACAGATACCGCCCTTCCCTCTCTCCCTGTTATGTGACAGTGTTGTTATGTTTCGTGCATGCATCTTTGTCAGGCTTGGAGATCTTAGGGAAACTTGTCAAGGTCATGGCGCTCGTCCATTAATGAGTCACACACAGAGTCTGCAGGCTGAAGAGCAAGTCTGAGCCAAGCCTAAATGTTGTTCATTATGATGCATCCGTGTCTATGAAAGGACTTGGAAGGCCACGTTGAAACCGGGTTTCTGGGTTAGGATTGCTGCTTGAGAAACGAGCAAAAAAAGCACAGCACAACAACTAGATTTGGTGAAACAAAGAGGAACTTCAATTAGAAATATATGTGGTTAGATTTGTTTACACTTCGACCCTACACATATGTTGTGATAAGAAATGTGGTTTATAACATGAGGTCCTACTATGAGCTGCTGTATCTATCTCAGCCGAAGGAGACTATAGGAGAAAAACAAATCCTCATTGCCGTTGACACTTGACCTGCATTCCATATTTCTGACTGTCAGTATTAAGGCCAGTGTCTACTCGGCCCTCATCACTGAACTAGCAGCGCTTGACAGCTGCTTCAGATTGCACCTGTCACGGTTAGAGCAGCTGCATTTATAGTAAGCACATACTGTTTTCAAAGCCTGGTGTTCTTTCGTTTTGGGTTGTTTAACGTCACGGTTAATAGTGAGATGCTGCACTTTTATTAGCTTGAATTATCTACATCATCTGCCTGATTTGTATTTATATAGATTTCCAGTGAAGAGTCTTTTTGTAAAAGAGATTGAAGCCAGACCCACCTATTAACCTTTTATGGCCTCTTCGACACTTTAATGGAATAGTCAGTGTGTACTGTCTGTGGTGGGTATCTTAATTTATTCAGCCAATTGTCTCATGGCCAGCATTAATCTGAGAAAATGACCTGTGTGCTTACCTAGCAGACAGTGTGCAGATCATTCAGCTGTGTACAAGAGAGGCCCTTTTTACCCTTCATGTAGCCACAATTCTCCTTGTTTGCCTTTGCCACGGGGCTTCAATTCTACGTCCTCTTTCCCTTGTTCCTTGTGACAAGGTTGTAGAAAAAAAAGGTTGCCATGGCAACGTCTCCTTCCCCGACCGACTGTGGCTGAATTAAGCCTGTGACGTGCTCATTTCCTGCCTGTGACCGAGACAAAACAGGGAAATATTGTAATGCTGACATCAAATGTAAATGCTACACATAAGACATTTTATTATGGCAACAATCTCCAAGCATTTACTTTCCATGTTGCTCTGTTCTTCTGTTCTCCATAGACTACATTGTTCCAAAAAGCATGAGTCAATCTTATCTTTTATAAGCTGCATATGCAAACACAATGTTTCTCTGACAGAACATTATGAAACACTAAAACAAGTCAGAAGTGGACAGAGGGAGGAGAGCCAACATGATGCTGCTCTCTTCCTAACTCCTCATGTCTTCCTCTCTCTCTTACTGGCTCTTTCTCTGCTGCTTGCAGCCCGTGGTGCGTTAGCTGCCCTACTTTTAGCCAGACTGCAACACCACAGGAGATATTTGTTCCCTAAATGCTTTCTCAAAATGAGTTTGGAGGTTAGAACAGTGTGGAACCTCTCCAGTGATTCATTTAATTATTGTTGTTATCATGCTGGAAAATGCAATGTCTCATTTCATTAACTGTATCTAGCAAATAATGAACTAATTTGGCCTGGCCTAAAGACACGGTCCTCCAATATTGATTCATTCAGTAATAAACCAACGTTTCCCATATGTCGTGTCAGTGACCATGACTAATACCTTCAACACATACAGTTACTGACTTACCAATCAGAAGTTAGCAGGAGCCAAAGAATAACATCTAAAGGAAAGGGAGGAAAAGCAATGTATATGACAAATATCAATGACACATTTGTAGAAAATAGCCCATTTTAACCTATATCTGAGAAATAATGACATGTTTTCAGCACAGACCAGAATTGACCTACTTTTCCACTGCCGCCACCCGTGACTCATATATTACATTTCCCAACGCCAAACACAAAGTGATGGAATCATCGTTCATGCTTGCTCCAAATAGGAACTTCTCATTACGAAAGATTATCTGCAATCTTTTAGGATTTGCGACATTTTAGTATAATTTAGAATCCTGTCCAACAAAACGTTTCACAAAAGCGATCCTGAGATGATATCTAAGAGCGCAGCAACAGCATTTATTTGACTGTGATTCATTTTCTTCTTTTGTTGCGTTCAGGTCAACCCAGATAAAGACGTACTCGTGGGATAATGCGCAGGTGGTGCTGGCTGGAAATAAGTGTGATATGGAAGAGGAGAGGGTTGTGTCAGTGGACAATGGCAGACTGCTGGCAGAACAATTGGGTAAGCCCTGGAGCAACATTTAACTCTAATGCCTTTTGGGTATCATACAAAATACTGTGATAGGGATGCATGTCATTAATTAATCTGACAATAAAATATTAATGTATCATACAATACTGCTACATAGAAGCAGCTTTGTTTCAAATAAAGATCATAGCTTTTCCTAAAACATATTTTTAGTCTGCCCTGTCTTTTCTCACGTTACTTGCTCTCCGTTTCTCCAAGGTTTTGAGTTCTTCGAGACCAGCGCCAAGGACAACGTCAACGTGAAGCAGACCTTTGAACGTCTCGTCGACCTCATTTGTGACAAGATGTCCGACAGCTTGGACTCGGATCCGGCCGTCACCACAGGAGCCCCCACTGCCAAACTCACAGACAGCGCTCCGCCCCTGCAGCAGTCCGGATGCAACTGTTAGGGACGGGTGTCAGGAAGCAGAGGCAGGGCAGCGCAGGTCCGTCAGCTGGTAGAGTGTGCACAGTGTTGTCCTCCCTTATCACTCCTGCTAGTGCTGCTTCCTCTGGACTACAGCTCAAACTCTGTTTAGTAGTAGAATTACAAAATGCCGTCGTATTAACTCTTAACTTTATCACCTTATATCAAGAGCAAATAACCAGACAACCAGACATGGCTATTGTAAAATGTGTAATGTCACAGGATATCTAGAATATAGAGACACAATATTCTCATTCTTCAACTAGTTAGTATGGTCATAAACCAAGTATGATTCATAATGAGGGAAAGACCTTTAAAATATTTAAGACCTAGAATAATTATAAATGAGGGAGTGAGTCAGTGAATGCTTTAATTTTTATTTTTTGTACATGATGTATTTTCCTTTTTCTAGAATTATTTTGTCTCCTAAAGCTGCCAAATCCATGATTTAGTGCACTATAGGACGTAGCCACTTTCTTTGATGTAATGAGTGTGTGGCTGTTGTGTGACTGTACAGTATGTGAGTGTGGGTTTGCATGAGTGTGAGTGTTATCTCTGAGTCGCAAATTTGTCATCTAAAAAAATCATCTATCTTGGATAAAAAAGTGTCCTTTTAACATCTCCCACACGGCCTCTGTAAGTTCCTCTGTCATGCTAACTTTCTGAATGAATCCAGTACGTTTAATGTCGATGTGAGTAGTATTCCACGTTTTCGCTGTCTGTAGATGTGTGATTTCCCTTATAAGTATAGCTGTAAATCGTAAAAGCAACTATTCGTATGTGTTTAGCCTCTAACATGACCCTTTATAGTTTGATGCAATGAGCATGCTGCCAAAAAAATCACATGTGCTGTTTTATCTAGAGATAGAACCCTAACATCCTCGACTTTATATAATAGCAATTATCAGCATTTCATTTAACACCAATGTCACGCTGACAAGGCACCGCACAGTGTATGCTATACAACAACTGATCAGCTCTGGCATGGAATAAACAGCCATATAAATACAAAAATATTGTTTAAATTCAGCATGCTAAAATGTCATGTTTGAATCTGAGTAAGCTGCGTAGAAAACATAGATATACAGTAGTCTAAAATGTGGATGAAGGCATATACAGCACTGCAGTGGTCTTAAACTTAAGTCAAAGCATTGCAGAAAGCCTTTCAGTTCTACTCTACAATAATTTAAAAAACACATTTATGCCAAAACATACAGTTCCTTTTAGCATCGTCAGTTGTTTGTTGCATAGTTGAATAAAAACTCCCATAAATTGCATGTACCAGTTATCTATGTAGATTTATATAATAAGATAGTGTATATATCACTGTGTTACAGATTTAGACGCATCATCATAGCACGTGCTGTGAGATGCAATGGGCCAATAAGTGCAATATTTTATGAATGAAACCCTGTACATAGTTTCTCCTGTGCTCGAGTACAATGACTCTATCTGCAGTGTGTGAGTGAGTTTGGTCAGAAAGGCTCTGAAACTGATGTACAATCTCTTTTAAAAAAGTGAGTGTGTGCTTCATGGTAATTTCAGCTGCTGAATGTGTGACTTAGTGTGTGTGTGTGTGTGTGTGTGTGTGTGTGTGTGTGTGTGTGTGTGTGTGTGTGTGTGTGTGTGTGTGTGTGTGTGTGCGTGCGTGCGTGTGTGCGCGTGCTGCCTTCTGACCCGGGGCTGCTGTCTCTGCATTGTTGACGCCTCCTTCCATTCACGAGCGGTGACCACCACCTAGTGGTGGACATTATACTGCACTGGCCTCAAATGCAGTGATGGAAAGTAGCCCACATTCAAATAGTGTACTAAAATAAATATTTGTATGTTACACTTTATATACTTCACTACATTTTACATTTTACTTTAAACTCCTCTTCATTTATTTGACAGCTATTTGAATTAGTTAATCTACAATTAAGTGTTTACCAAAAATACATTTCTGTGCATTAAACTACCCAACAGTACAGGTACATTGAGCCTAAACAGTATTGCATAACAATTGCATTTACATATTTATGCTTCAGTATAATAATCTAACATTCAATAATATGACACCTGAGTTGCAAATACATTTACTCAAGTAAAGCACTTTACAGAAAGTACTTTGAAGATTGGTATTTAAATGTTCAGTTAATTTTTATGTACACTTTCCAACAATTCACTCGAATGTTATCATTACTCCTCTACATGTTAATGTTACAGTTGTAACATGCAGCGTAAGTTTTATCCCAAAAGTATGACATTACATTTGGGCGTCAGACAGAAGAATATTTAAAATATTTATTTGCAAAATTAAAAGGTCAATTTAGATAAACAGATGGAGGGGTAGCCCGATGACTGAGCAACGGAAGGTACACAATCAGCAGATCAATCAATTTGTCTTTATCAAAATAAGATGTCTGTATTTGACAAAAAAATTATAATTAATACATCACAAAGCAAAAGATCACAACACAGTCCCATTACCAAAAAAACGTAAACTCAAAAGATGCAAAAACCAAATATATTAATTAACTAAATAACAGACCAAACCATGGCAAGAGAGTGAATGAGTATGTTAAAAGTTTGTATTGTCCTTTTACACTGTGAAAGTAGTCCAGTTCAATTCCAGTGCAGTTCAGGTGGATATGTGTATGAAATGTGTATGAATGAAGAGTCCAACTGGCTCAGAGTGAGGTGAGTGGTTGCAGGTTTGTAGGGTTTTAGGTGGAGGAAATGGAAATCTCTAAAGAGGCAGAGACACTTAGCTTGAGTTCCAAGCAAGACAAATCAAAGATCAGATGCAGGTCAAAAGATGATGTTTAAGATTGAATTGTTTCATCCCATCAGCTCCTGGCTTCAGTTAACTTCCAAAAACAGCCTGGTTGACCGGAAAAAGTCCTCCAAAATCCAACTTGGTGCATAAACCGGATCAGATTCCACTTCTTTCTCTTTCAGTAGTAGAGTGAGACCTCCTCTCCTCCACAGCTCTCAGCTGTGGCAGGCACCCACCTTTGTGATCAGTGGAGGAACATTTCTGTAATTTCGTATTTTGTTTTTATTTCCCCCGTCCTTATACAAACATATTAATATACTTGAAAGCAGTGGTGTCACCAGAGAGATTTTTCAAGTTAAGAATCTGAATTTCTATTTTTGGATCAACACAATTGACCAGCTTTCTTGTGACATGTTAATATTTCAGGAGTAGGCATATTGATCACAACTGATTATCACATACAACATATTTTAGTATGTCTTTAATGCACTTTGTACAATATCTTTGATTGGGGATGATTAAAAAACTGCTTTAGATATGCAAATGACATGTGACAATACATGCCAATCACAGCCTTTTCTTTTTTTTGTATCAAGGCTGTGGTGACAGCAATCTTCCAAAAATTGTAATAATATAGATCATGTATGTATGTATGTATGTATGTATGTATGTATGTATGTATGTATGTATCATGTCAATAATAAAGAATATATTTAGAGGAGAAGATCAAGGAAACATACAGATTGGCTTTGGGTATGAAAAAATGCCAAAACCCAAAACAATGTTTTTGAAAATGTTCTTTCAGGCTTTATTACGTTTTCTCTGTGAAACAAATGCATGGTGTATGCATGGTATGACCCTCTGAAACAATGACATGAAGAAACCAGTGAGTAGGCAGAATCAACCCATGCTTTTATTTAATCCATTGCATATAAAAACTTTTTTTTCATTATTTTCATTTGTTTTTTACATAAAGTTGTATGATCTACAGTGCTATCCAATAGACTGCAATTAACAAGGAATCCATTAAAATAACATTTTAATTGTCCTGTGAAACTTCCAGACAAAAAGACATAACCCAAAAAAATAATTGTCCTGAAGACCTTTTTTTAAGTTACAGTTTGTGTTTTCCTTTCATACCATAAAAAATAGAACACATAATGATAAAAGAACCCACTGTTTCCATTGGTCCAGGGCTGTTTAGAATCTACAGTATGTGTGTCAAAATAAGAGTCCCTGTTTTTGGACAAAGATGCACTCAAAACCCCTACCCCAGCCCACCCCCCCAAGCCCACCCCTCACTACAGAAATATACTAAACCCTTCTCCCGTCCAGGCAGAAAGATGTCAGTGGTTTTGGATATTGCAAGTCATGTGAGTGAAAGTGTGGGCCGAGCATAGATAAGCAACACACCGTCAGTGTTTCAGCCATAATTAATGCAGCAGTGGCTGAACATGCAGATGTGTCTCAAAGACTCTGTGCTTTGTAGGCTGTGGTTGAGCAGCGGGACACACACCTGTTTCACCCCGTTCAGTGTTTGTAGCTGTGACACTCCCACACGCATGGAGACGACACTGCAGTACCTCTGCACGGACAAAGTCACTCCCGTATCGTTTACATCCCAGCGGGTGTGTCACAGTGAGTGCAGTGTCAGGGCGTAAGGAAGTGCCAGTTGTTCACACCAGGTCTACAGCAAATACGACTCTTGGACATCCGGCTTTAGGCCACACATCACTCAGGGAGTACATCTATGGCTTGTGATTGACCTGAATCCTGCACAATTTTACCCAGGAACACATTTTTGATAGATAAATATGTGTTTGGCTGTGAGAAAAAAAAGCAACATTTTCAAACTCACAGCAGGAGGTCAGGCCAACCCAAGCCAAAAGATCCACTAATGCAGCAAAAGAGAACTAGGAAATCAAATAGAAAAAAAGGCTAAAGTAAATGACATGCTTTGAATTTAAGGCACAGCCCATGGGCCAAGGAACAGTTTCTTTGAAAAAACAATTTGGCTTTCCCCCTCTCTTCACTGAGCTACTTCTCAGGTAAGCAACATGTCCATGGATCTTTTTTTACACCAAAGCTCATCTGTTATAAACATTCTCTCAACAAGAGGTACGTAATACAGCCACACCATCACCAAAAGGGATGATAAGAATCGACCATTTACAACAAACGGCATTATGATAGTAATAACATTAATAATTATATATTATATACAGCACAATAAATATATGTTTGTAAACAGCGATAAAACCAGAACATTGTATTACAGGTAAGGGCATTGGGTGAGGATGAAAAAAGAGGGAAAAAAAACTTGGCACAAAATGAAAGATAAAATTAGCTTTTGAAAGGACGAACACTTGTTAAAAAAAGCAGTGTGCAGTATTTCAAGTGTTTTTTAGTTGTTTTTTTTACATTTGTGGGTTTTCTATATTTTATGTACACAGAGAAATAAAAGGGATATTTGAGTATTGTAACAGCCAAGCCTGCACTGTGGTCTATGCTACAGTCAAACATTTACTGTACCACCTTTATATTGCAAAAAATACTAAAAAAATAAAAAATATACCAATAAATAATAGCATCAGGTGAAAATAAAAAAAACATGAAAAAAAGAAGCAAGTCTTGGACGAGGTGTAAGACAGCACTGGTCTAGCCTAAATATTCATGAGTGAGGGGTTTGGCGAGTTGACACATTACAAATATTAAAGTGGTGATATATTAATATATCAGTGCATCAAGAGTATCTACGTAGAGGATAGTCTTATCTGAAGACTATGCAACGGAGCTGATTGTCTTTTCGAAAACAAAGACAGCAACTGGGTTAATTGTGTTGGCAAAATGAAAATAAATTCATGCCGCCGAATAGAAAATGAAGTGAAGCTGAAAACAAGCAGCTGATGGTGATAAGTACATCACTGTTAATGAGCAAAAGAAAAGAAAGGACAGTAAAAGCTTTCATAACATTGGTATAAAATCACCCCAGTAGTTTTCACTCACCATTACTACAGTATTTCTGTATACTCCAAGCACTAATCAAGCTTCTAAAAAAAGGTGCTTTTTGTATCAACTACAAAGCATTGCATTGTCTCAGGATGTGTTCAAAAGAACTGCAGGCAACGATAATAAAATATAAAGGCTTCATCCAAATTTCAATGAAAGTAAAGCATACAGTAACGTCCCGCCTCCTTCTCAGTGAAAACTCTCACCAAACGAATAGTTGTAATGAATAATTTCAAAATTTCACTCACAGGACTAACCGAATATGGGTATAGTGGCATGGTAATAGTAGTTTAAATGCTATTGGAGCAAGTGCAAACACTCCTAATGTAATCCAGCGGTGAAGATACACCTTCAAAACACTGAATATCTGTGACACATGTCTTCCCATTGGTTCTCTAATCCTCTCTGCTAACAAAACAAAGCCTAGGATTGCAAAAGTAAATTCTAGAAAATATCTGACTCTTACACACAGTACGATACAAACATTAAAGAGGTCTAGGACAGCATCTCAGCTGTTCAGATTTGAGCTTTGTATCAGTCAGGTTTTCAAGGAAGACTTCCACATCAGAAACGTGTGTCTCGAAAAGCTCCCCGTGTCCTGCAGCTTTCATCTCTGTCCCGTCGGGTTTTCAGCAGAACGGCAGCATATAATGCCTCCTAATTCTCAGAGGGAGGGAGTGACCTAACCGAGGGGGAGATTCTCCTTGAACACACTGATAGCCACAAGTATGGGCACTTGATAAAACACAGAAATACTGCTAAACTTTCAGGCAATGCTGAGCCGAAGCGGAGGGAAGGAAAATGTGATATTATGTATCGTGTGAACAGCTCTGAGCAGACTGAGAGCTGTTAGTCCATGTTCTAAACTTAAGCCTGTAAAGGGGAGGCCTAAAAGAGAAATAAGGACACACCACTTTAGTACAAAGAGGAATGGAGAGGAGTTTTCCTGAGTGCAAAATAACTTGAAGAAGTACCGGTGTCTGAACGAAGCGGACAGGAGGAGTGGCCAAGGTGAAGAGCAGCGCACGCTTTGGAACCAGAAACAAAGATGTATAAAAAACACAGACAAACTCCACGAAACCCAAAAAATATTCTATAAATAATCATCTGTCATTACTAAGAAGAACAGTTAATCAGCTGCTGTCCAGACACTGCTATGTGTGGGGGGGCTCCTCTTTCTCCCCCTCCTCTGCTACCTCCTCCTCCACCACACAGGTTTGTGTGCAGGGTGTCTCCCCCTCTTCCGCTACCTCCTCCTCTTCGTCGTCCCCCAACGGTTCGTCCAAAGGAACCTCTGTAGATTCAGAGTCCTGCGTACAGAGTGTTTTAGAGTCAGTGCAGCTGTTTTCCTCATCTTCATCCTCCTCCTCATCATCATCCTCATCTTCTAGTTCCTCTTCCTCTTCCTCCTCCTCCGGCTGGCTGCCGCTGTCTTTCTCAGTGTCCGACTCCCCGTCCTCCTCCAGCGTGAGCTCAAACTGGAACTTGTCCCCTCCTGGAGGTCTCGTTCCATCCTCGGGATCGTCCAGGGTGGGGGAGGGGCTTGCGGGGATGGTGCTTGAATACCACTCCCTGTTGTCCTCCAGCGTGTCCAGGATGTCCTGGGCGTCTGGGTGCACCAGGTCCGCCCACGTCTCCCACAGAGGGTGGACGATATAGTCTATAAAACCCACCTACATGGGGGAAATGGGGGGAATAGGTCATCCAGTGTGTGTCTATTATATCTATTTAATATTCCATTCCTTACACACTTCATGTATCTATAATATCCTGCTTTACATTTTGTTACTGTACATTTTCAACCTGTATATTTTCTACATTTTTAATGCTATTTTATTTCCATTTGAGATGTTTACATTTTGGATTGTTTATTTTTAGTCTTTTCATTTCTCTAATGTACAATGCCTTGTCTTTTCATGCTGCTGCAACGCAAACATTTCCCCAATTGGGATCAATAAAGCACTTCTTAAAGGTCCCCTATTATACTGTTTTTCATCAATATATTATAGGTCTCAGATATATACAAAGCGAATATTTTTTCCTGAAACGTTCAGAGTCTCTTTACACAGAGGGGACACATGTTTATGTATAAAAGACATGAACAAGTGGATTTTGCACAATAGGTGGCCTTTATCTTATCTTATCGATGCACATTATGCATGTATAGCAGATATGTGTGAGTTACCTGGCTCTTTTCTACTGAGGCATTGTGTTTGTCACACATGGGGCTGATCTCCATGCCCCTCTCCCTCTCTCGGTCTCCCTGGGTGAAGAACTCCTCCATGATGCGGTCCGTACACTGCCGGTACAGCTGGAGAGGCTTAGTGGGGTTACTCAGATCTGCACAGTGCACCATGTTCTGCAGAACCTGGATATAACAAATAAAAGGTTAAAAAAGGGGGAACATCCCAGCCACATGTTGCATGATTTAGAGCAGAGGGGCTCGTTCAAAGCATCTACAATAGAGACTCTTGCAATCCTGTACAATAAACCTGTACAAAATAAACACTATGTGCATTTTGTACGGCGATATAATCACTTTAATGTCGAACATACTTGTTTCTATAAATGTCCTAACCTATATTATTTTAAGGTAACAACACTTCAATGCCATCTACAGTATGTCCCTTAGTTTACTGAAAATACTGCTACTCCATTTAGCCATGGTTGTGTACTTATTTGTGTGTGCTTTGCTTTTTTATTATTTCATGTCTCTTTTTTTTGTATCTGCTTATTCTGCTATCCACATTTGCAGTAACACTGTACATTTCCCTGTTGTGGGACTAATAAAGGATTTCTGAACTAAAAACCCTAAATCATGTGATTTTAATTAAATTGTTGGTAAATAGATCATGGTTAAAGAGGTGAAATACAATACAACTGTTGTGTGGTTTTAACACATGGAGTTCATCTTGGTGAACTTTGATGCAACTCATTTGTGGTTCTGACAGAAAATGGAGGAATTTGAGGATGGAGGAAGCTGTGTTGCAAGTAATCAACACATTTTGCTGTGTAGCTTTCTAAAATAACCAAGAGGTACGAATGATGTCTTTTTATACCGAGGTGATATTTGTTTAGAAGCCCAAGTTATCAGAATATTTAAGGGGACCGCAGTAGGGATGCTCCGATCAGGGTTTTTGGGGCCGATCACCGGAATCAGAATCGGCTGATCCGATCACAGGGTGGGTGGGGGCTATGGGGATCTTCCATTTAAAGTGTTATATTGTGAATTGTGTAGCAGAGTTTCTGTTAGCCGGTAAGTACCGGGCTATGACCGTTAATATATGCTGATAATGCTCAGTTAATGGGTCTCATTTTTATATTGCTTCAGTTTATAATCGTAACAGATTGAAAAGTTCAGATTCATTTTTCAATAAATGATTTGTTTCCACAAACAACAAACAACATACTTATTACATTCAAACAAACTACTTATAGCAGGCTAGATGAAGTACATTATTCAAAAGTTTACATTCACTTAGGTTATTAACAATGGAGAAATAAACGGAGAAATAAACGGAGCCTCTCTCCCCCTCTCTCTCTCTCTCTCTCTCTCTCTCTCTCTCTCTCCTGACAGCCTGTCAGTATCTCATGCAGCTTGCTGATCCAGTAATGAGTGACCTGACAGTGAAGAATAAACATATTATAACTAGATTAGCTAGTTCCAGAGGTAGATCAAATAGCTAAGTGTGTTAGTTCTAACTTGAAGTGTGTGTTTTGCTCCGCTCACCGGTCCGTCACAGCGGGCGGAGCTGCGTGTTCTCCGTCAGCTGATCGTGATCTCTGATCCCTCTCTCTCTCTTTCTGCTTCACACACGTTGCATATAGCTATTTTGTTGTCTTTTTAGGACACCTTGAAAAACTACCAGACCGGTGAAGCCATTTTGGCGAGCTTGTTATGCCACAGAGAAAAGTCTCATGTATTTGCATCATCTGAGCATCCCTAGACCGCAGTATTCTTTGAATGTACATGCACATCAAACAGAGTGGCACACATCTTGTTGTTTCTGATGGTGAACTTTGTCCTGACCTGTATCCTGTCTGAGTAGTTGTCCAGCAGCAGGACACCAGAGCTGGTCACCTTCTTGGTTTCAACCATAGTTTTCAGATCAGCCAGTAGATTCATGTGCTTTGACATGTCTGTAGCTAGCACCTGGGAATTATTGGGGAAAATCATTAGTTATCAATACGAGAAAAAGGTGATGTGATGGCATATACTGTAATTAATTTGACTTCTTCTCTTTTCACTTACAATGTCAATGACCATCTTTCGCAGAGATTGTCTTTGTTTTTTGGTCAAGTTTTGGAAGATGTCACAGTTCTCCTCTTGTAGAAGTTTGAAACCGACTGCTAGATGGTGGTTTTCCAACACCGATGAGTCATTGTACATCAGCGCCAACTCCGAATCTGCAAGGAGGACACCATCGATCATTTATGTGATTGTTCAAAATTGAAGTAACTTCTAAAACCATGAAATTATCAGAATTTTTCCACCATGAAATATGTAATTGCTTTGCCTTGATTACTTTGTAAGAAAACACTACTGAACAAGGTCAAACTTTTCAACAGAATGAGGGATAACTATCTGCTAAAAGGCCTTTCCAAATGTATATGTGCTGCTGTGACGCCTGTATTATCCATCATGCTCTGTGAGAGACATAAGAAACCCCCAGCATGCTTTCTGCTCAGAGGCTTTCCCACTCTGCGTCATTTGAAGGTCCTCTTGCTGTATTTAGATGTTCCATTAAGATGCATTAGTCTTGGCCTCAGTGGAGAAGATGAGCAGAGGGAGAAAGGCGATCCTGCTCTGTCGCTCTGTGGCTGACAGAAGATCAGTCCTAACTAGGATGACTCACACTGCCTTTCCTTCAGGGAATCCCCATTTGGGCTTATGGGAAGCACAACACATTATGTGTGTTAAGCGTGTGGGACTATGAAGTGCTTTTCAGTTCTCATATGGTATTACTAATACCCTTATGCAACATACATATTTAAAAGTTTAAGGCGATCCTCAGTGCATATAAACTCTGTTTGTTTGTGCTTTCCTCTAAATGTCCAAATCAAGGGCTTGTTTGTGGCCCCTCCGGCCGGGGGCGAGTGAGTCAGTGAAGGCAGAGACATCAGAGGTTCAATCTCTGGCTCGAGGACACTCCACATACCAGCTCAACTCCATGAACCCTGTAAGCCTACCAGGCTCCGTTCACCCATTAACATCACTGCCCTCAGTAGTATCTACTCATGCAGATAGTTTAGCTGCTTATTTCTTTTTTTAAGATATATTTGTCTCTCTTTGTTTGTCTTCATCTGTCTTTTTGTAATGACTACGACCTCGTTAACCCAACAACATCATACCACATGTCAAACAAAGATTTCCTATGCAGTGTGTACACAATATATTGGGGACATTTATTTTCTCATTAAATCATGGTAGTTTGAATGATGTTGTGTTACAAGGAAAGGGTATTATTGTGGACGACAATGATCACACCTTTGAACTCCTCTTTCTTGGAATCACTTGTCAAAGCCATCACATACGACAAAAAAAAAACACAAATTGCTTTTTCCTTTTACGTACAGTAAATATGCAGCATCAGACTGCCAAGGCACAC